TTTCCTAAAACACACCAATTTACTCCCTCTCAATTAGGGTTGTCACAAAATATCACCGAATAGATTTCTAAAGAGAAAACATTAAACAAGTCGAGAAAAGATGGAGCTAGCACTCTACAACTTCGAGTGCTTTTTATGTGGGTGCTTGGATTTCGTGGATTATCAATAGAGGCCGGACACTTAGACAACTCATTTTCTTCAAAGGTTAAAATCCGTGCTACAAGACATAATCCTTTACTCATATTTTAATTCATGTATGTATGCTTAGTTGATTTAATGGCTTGATCTTGAGAGCCGTGGATGAAGGAAATCTTTTTGTTTTATTTCTCACCTCCATAGGATGCATGATCCTTCAATCAATTCATAACATGGTCGGTTTAACTCCGTACTCTTTCCTTCTAGACTTAGAATAATATCAAAATTAGAAATCAATTAACCTTGTTCCTACTCGTGAATAGGTTTTATAATGATTATGTATTATAAACCCTAATTTAGTAATTATTTATTGATCACAATTACCTAGTAGTGCTCCTAAGCAATTAGAAATAAGAATATAACTCAATTAATTGAGAATAATAAGAGATAGTAAATATGAATAGATTATAAAATTAAATAGCTTATTCTTTAAAGTCATGTTTATTTTAAAATGAAAAAACATAAAATTAGCCTTACATCTTAAAAGTAAAAACTCAAAAATAAAGAAGTTCTCTTGTAAAACCTAATATATTCTGAATGTGAAGCTTCAAAGGTTATTTATACGTGTGTTTAGATAGATATGCTAGCCCACACGTCTTATTTAAGATTGTATTCAAAATTAATTAGTACTTCTTATGGCTGAATAAAACTCTAACTTCGTGTTATATTTTACGGGTCGATATGGGATCGGATGATTGTTTATTTTAATCCCGGGCTCTCTATAAAAGTTGTAATACCGGATGTCTTCCCTTTGTAAGATTTTGAATTATATTAAGCCAATGTGTATAACTTTGGATAGTCCAAACACTAAAAATTGTTTCGGATTGTCGTGGATCTAAATTAATGACCTCGCTTTGCAATCAACTTTGATAGTCCAAAAGAAAATGTATTTGTGCAATTGAATCCAATTTAAAAAGTTTAATATGTCTACTTCGAATCCCAACAAGGCTTCTTTTACTTTCCGGATCTCTAAAAAAGTGAAATTCTTGTATCTTCTTCCGAATGTCATTCTGCTAGCAATGAATTCACTTTAGTTAGGTAACTTTTGATCCTTTATCTTCAATTATCTCCCAAATCACAAAATAAACTTAATTCAACAAATATAACCTAAAATAACATACAAAAAACTAAATATAATCAATAATGCTTACTGTCATCTTGACATAAAAAAAAACATATAAAAATGAGTTTAAAAACAAATATGCAATCAATAATTTCATAATTCTTAATCAAAATTTGTTTTCAATTTGATACCCTTTTTTGGTAAATGGGTTACCTAATAAAAAATCTGTAATAATATATATATATATATATATATATATATATATATATATATATATATATATATATATATATATATATATATATAATTATATATAATTATATATATAATTATATATAAAAATTAAAAAACATTCTATTTTTTTTAATAAGATTGCATAAAAAAAGCGACAATCAATTAAAAAATTTGTATAGAAATTAACTATTTTTTTTTTTGAAAATATGTGCATTTGATTTATATATATTTATTTACAAAAATAATAAAAAATATTAGCATAAAAAGATGTATCCGAATGATTAGGTGATTATTTCAAAATATTATTTTAATTATTTTATTTGAAAAATTAATTTTGGGATATTAAAAAAATTAATAGCAAATAGTTAGTGGTATATGTGTAGATGCATAGTTTATTTATAATAAAATCAATGATCTCAATATTTTTTATTATATATGATGACCATACTTAATAGGTTACGGTATGCAATATAAATCAAAAAATATTTATTAAAATAATTAAGTTATAAGAAATATATTTTCATAAAAATAACAAATCGAAGAGATTAATTTTAAAAAATAAATATAATATAATCCGATAGATGTGTTAATTCTAAAATGTAACAACTCGATGAGCTAAAAATATCTTAATACAATGGACCCAAAATATCTTATGAAAAAGAGGGACTAAAATGGAATAAAATAAAAACACGAAGGGTTAAAAATATTTTTTTTAAACATGAGAGACCAAAAAAGCCTTTTAAAACATTTGGGACCAAAACTTAATATAACGTAAAATTTACATATGAATGCCCGAAAACAGACTAAAAAATCACGAAAATACCATTATTGAAAATTATAAAAAATACCACCTAGTGAATAGTGACTTGTGAGAGAATAAATAGTGAATGAATAGTAATTACTTCTATCCTTTTAGTTTATTTTTTAAATTACATGGATAATATTAATTTATTATATAGTATTAGGTTTAAAAAAATTATTATTTCAAAATTTGAAATGTAAAACACAAAATAATTCGTTTAAATGTTATCTTATTTTCTAAATAAATTATTTTTTAATAAATATATCATGGAGTAACGAAAGAGCTTTTAAAACTAAGGGGCAAATGTTTAGAAAAGGGGGAAAAATTCAGGATCCTTAAATTATTAAGGATTGTTGTGAATTTTTTAAAAAAAATAAGGAGGGCAATTGCCACTTTTTTCTTATATTTAGCTACACCTTGCTAATCACACTTTTTTTATTACTTTATGTAACAGTTAATGGGATATTATTATAATAATTTTTGTATCAATCCAAATTAAATTGGAATCACGTTTAATCTATATATATTAAGAATTTTATAAACGTACCACAATGTACCTGTTTTTAACATATGCCTGTATTTTTCAAAAAAGAAACATATGCTTATAATTTATATTGACATAACATAATAGACTTGGTTATTAAAATGTTGAAGATAATTTCAACTAAAAAATGTCAATGTAAATAAAAAGCAAAGCATATATAAAGATGAATTTTTAGAAATTTCAATAAACTCTCTTTTACGTTTCAAACAGATATTTTATTAGTCAGTGAATAACAGCAAGAAACAAATAAAAAATGCTTTACTTAGAAAAAAAATTAATACGACAAAAACATTTTTGGAACAAATTAAATTTGATGATTAAAGAATGAACAGAATGGTGAAATTTAAATTCACAGAGACCTTTTCTTTTAGGTATATGCTATATTTAAATTAAATATAATTGGTTGTCGTCTTCAAGCACACCTACAGGAAAGGTAGTACTTGTGCAGGCTGGGTAGACAAAGACGCAGTTCCAATGACTCATGGATTGGTCTTTTGATTTAACGTCCAATGAATTATGAATTCCACTATGGGTTGTCAGGTTGATGGCGAGGGGATCTCTATCTCCAAAATTCTAATTTGTATAGCCTAGTTTTAGTGCTTTGGGCTTCTTGCCCCTCTACTTAAAAAAGAAAAAAATTAAAATAAGAAGGAAAAATTAAGGCAAATTTTTACTGCTGTTATTAAAGAAACCTGCAAGTTGAAGGCGGCTTGGTTGTATCTAAATAATAAAAAGCAGATTGTGGATAGCTATTAACAGTGGAATAACGCCAAACTTTTCTTTTCTTTTTTTCAATGATGGATTTCTTTAACTTGGGTCCAAGTATCCCAGATGGACTAGAGAGAAGAGAGTGATCGGATGAAAAAGTGAACCATGGGTTTAGGCTTTTAGCCCAAGATGAGAGCTGATTGAGCAAGCAAGCACTAAAAACACAATCCTAAAAGCTTTAGAGAACCAAGAACCGGAATATGCAACTGGACACGGAGAAAGGCAAATGCTAGTTGTTTGTTTATTTCAAGGGCATGGAGGACCCCCTTTTTTTTTTCGTTTTTTCTTTTCTTTTCCCCCGAGAATAAAGTATATATTCAAACCATCACTGATTTCATGGGTGCACCTCACATGGATGGACACTAAGAAGATACAAGTTTAATGAGGTAAAGAAATTTAGGGACATAAATCAACATGAAGCTAGTTTTCCATCTTATCTATTGCATGTCAAGCCGTCACCTGTCAGCCATGCTTTCTTCAGTTTCCTGCTTTCATGGTGACACTGAAGTGATACGATCGTCGAACCAAAAAGTAGAGGGTAGTAGCCGGCCTATTCTCCGCAATCACATCACTGTTGCTGCGAGGTCACCTGTTGGACTGTTACCTATTGCCTACCAAATTTTTCTTAACAACAAATAATAGCCCTGACCCACTTCAATTCATAAGCCTGGGCTTTTAACACTCACAATGCTTTGGATAGACGAATAGGTCCATTTGATCAAGACCCAAATCAAGCCCAGACCCATTTACCACATGAACATTTTTACGCCGTTTAACTTTCCGTTAACCTCCAGCAAGACACCTGACAACGACACGTGTTAGTCACAGCTCATCGTACTTTCTCTTTCCATAAATTTTATAATACACAAAAAATAACTAATAACATGTATAATAATTACTCCTCAGATCATTTTGAAGAAACAGATAAACATAAAAAAATGAGAGAAAATCTTTTTATTAGTTTTGATGGGTATGAATATAATATATATTTTTTTTTATGTTCCACTAATTCCTGCTCTTGTATTATAAAATTTTCCCCTTCTCCTCCTCTCTATTTCCTCTCCCAAGTTTTTGACCTGGTCCGTTCTCTGCCCTTCGCATCCGCAAAAACTCTTTGACACTACAAAAAAATCACTCTCAAAAACCCTAATCATTCACGTAAAAAATTCAAAACCCTTTTTCCTCTCCAATGCAAAAATAGAAACTAAAAGATCTCCTCCAATTTTTATCCTCTCCAACAAACAGTGCTGCTAATCTTCTTACTCCCAAACACCGCAAAATTCCAAAATCTCCTATGATTCCCAGGATTTGAAAAAAAGATCAAAATCCAAATCCAAGAATCCCTAATTCCAATTTCTTCTGTTTCCAATTTGAAGGAATTATTTTAGGGTTCAATGGATCAAATCCACAACGAATCAAATTCCTACAAAAAGCTAATCACAGATAAATCATCTTCATGGCTTGAAATCCGATTATTCTACGTAAGAATAACCCCTTGCGTTATCGAAAGCGTACCCGACCACCTGACCCTTCGCCATCTCCGCCGTTCAATCAGCACACCCCTCGAAATCAACGGCGCAAAAATCCCCTCCTCCGATTCCGCCTCCATAATCCTCCGTCGCGATCGCCTCAACAAGGAATCATCGGAGGTAACGTATGTAAGCACGGACAGCGTGCGAGTGACCTGCGGGGTTGAATTTGAAGTATTGGATAATAAGGATATGGTTTTGTGCGGGTCGTTAGAGAGGATTGAAACGACATCGTGGGGGAGTAATGGAAGTGTAGAGGGGTTGGAGAATGATGCGAAGACAGGGTGGAGTTTAGAGTGCTGTGTGGCGGCTGGTGTTTTTGAAGGGAAATCGGTGTTTAAATCCGGGTTTTCGTCGCCGATTATTGAGGTTTATATTGCTGGCTGTTGTGGAGGTGTGCCAGTGATTTTGACGAAGACCATTTTGGTTAGTCCGAGGAAGAAACCGTCGAGGTATGCGATGCTTGATGCGATTCCAGAGGATGAGGAGTTGGATAATAGGAAGCGAAACGGCGTTGTAAATGGTGTTATCAGTAATGGGTTGGTTCAACGCAAACTTCAGGTAAATTTTTCTTGTTGTCATTAATGTTTCTCCCTACGTTTGGATTTTTTTTTTCAGAAATAGAATGATGGGAATTTAGTAGTTTTGTTTTAGAGAATGTTAAGTGAGCTAATGCAAGTCTTTTGTTGTTGTGTATTGGTTTTTATGTTGATTGCCTTATAGTGCTTAAGTTGAATTGAAGTTGCGTGAGCTGAGTTAATTCTGATTATGAGTTGATTTAAGTTTCGTATAATGCAGTTAATGTGGATTTTGATGTTGGTTGTGTGGTCTTCAGTTGTAGTTTTTGCAATGTGGTTGAGGACAAGCGCATTAGGCTTGCCGATCCTTGTTCTTAATTGTGTCCTGTGAACCTAATTGTTATTACAATTATTAAGGACACCCACATTTCATATTTCATGAGAAGTAGGTGTAGACTCTTGAACTACTTGATTATTTGGTGAGAGAGAGAGAGAGGAATGTGGCTTTTATGTAACATGATTGGTACAGGTGAGTTTTTGTAGTGAAAGACTGCATTGCACCATTTAGAATTTGAAAGATTTGAGTATATTCTGAATTTGTTCACTTATTAACTGTAATCTATGATGAAAAGTTAATTTTAGCTCTCAGGGAATGCAGAGGAAGATGGTGAAGGTGATATACAATTATTGTCTCCCTTCTTGTAATTATCACCACCTGTATACGTCTATCAATCAATCACATTGTGCTGCAGCTTGGAGTCGGTCATTAATGATTGAATTATGTGCTCTTGGCTTCTGGAAATAATTCATGCAAATCCATGTTCCTCCAAAGAAAGCAAATTATGGTCTTCAAGATATTCAACTACAAATTAGCTTTCAGAAGCTTAACAAACTCCTGCACTGAACAATATGGGAAATTTTCTGATATATTGTGGACTTTTTTTTTCATGTGTTAATCAATGAATTCATGATGTGCATAACTGGTTAGGTGAATGCAAGGACAAACATGAATATGATTTGATATATCTTGAGTGATTTTTTGATGATGTGTTTTGGAAAGGTTGTTGACACTTCAGTTTACCTGGAGTAGTGTGCCTTCATCGGAAATTTGTGTTATTCCAATTGTCTCATCAACATTGGGCCCTTGTGTGCAGATTACTGAAGCTGAAGATGACGACGACAATGAGTCAGATGAGAAAATTGGAAACAGATACTACTCAGAAGACATGTATTATGGTGAGGATGGACAACTCTCATGGTTTAATGCTGGTGTGAGAGTCGGTGTTGGAATTGGCCTTGGGATGTGCCTTGGTGTTGGCATTGGTGTTGGACTGCTCATGCGGTCGTATCAAGCAACTACCAGGAATTTTAGGAGGAGGTTTTTATGAACTGGATCTTTTTCGCCTATGAGCTCGGTATTGTGGATGAACCAAAACAGCTGGAAATCTTTGAGAATTTGAAAGTCCGTCTGTAATATTGCTCAATATATATATGATGTTGAAGGAGATGGGAAACAGATAAGACAAGCTTGATCAAGTATGAGTTTTGGTAAATGTTGTGGAACTTGTACAGTATTTTTGTTTGGTAGTTTTATATCTTTCGTGACAAGGAGACCAGCTTAAAGTTCTTCATCTCGTTCCTCTAGTTGCTTATCAGACCATGACTCATGTTGGTCAACAGGGAAGTTGGATATAATGCAAATTTGCTTGAATATTTGGATTAGCAGAGTTTTGGATTAGGCTTAGAAGGGAACAATAGCTTCCATCTTCTGATGAACCTGCAAGGGATATACAGACCTGTTCACAGGCCTGCATGGGTTTTTGATGGTGCGAGTGTGCCTCTATGAAAATGCACATATTGTTTTCTGAGTCCTGTAGTATATTTGTGCAGCTCTCTCTCTCTCTCTCTCTCTCTGTCTCTCACTGATTGAAGTGTAACGTGTTTTTCCTTTTTTTCCTTGAACTCAAGCTGCTGCTTCTCATTTTTGCATTTAATTAATTTGTTCCAAACTGTTTGTTGCATTTTCGAAATAATGTAAAGTATTTGGATAACATATCCGATTTTTATTATCTTTGCGATTCAATTTTTGCTATCTTTTGACTTCGGAGGAAATTAAGAAGCATTGAACCAGTTATTTATTTCCATTTGGCCCGAGGATAGGCCATATGAAATGCTAGTTTTTATTTTTATGCACTTGTGTAGGACTCCATACGAGAAGTGTCCTCAAGTACACTCTGATTCCCGGACTTATTTTGTGAAAGGCCTCAAAAACTTGCTTTCGCCAGTGGTGAATGAAAAAGACAATTGATGGGTAAGGTAAAGTCTTCTGATGTTGGTGGTTGATTTCCTCACGAAGAAAGAAAACTGAAGTAGTGGAAAAAGACAACCAAGGCCACCCGACCAGGGTAATTGTAAAGACTGCACCGTCTCTGGTTAGCAAATTATAGTTTTACTTCAACCTCTCAAAAATCGAATAATTACTTTTGGACACGGTTTATGCCATTCAAGATTCGAATTTGTATGTAGTGGCTGACGAAACCTGGGGCATAGTTACCATCTTTTTCTTCCACGAGGTATCTTCCATCAGCTTTCATGCATAACTTACGCTAAATTTAATTTGTTTTCTGTAATTAAATCAAGTAAATAGAAAGCTTTTTCTTTAACGAAAATAACTTGAATTCATAGAAGCACCTTGAGGATGTTACAGTAATTTTTCAAAACTCCAAGGACAGGGGATCAGATCTCTGCTGGTGTCTAAACCAGCAAAAGACATTTCACCCTCTCCCATAGCCTAGGAAGCAAAAACAAACCAACGGAAAAAACGACGCACCATCAGCCTCTCTCTCTCCTCTCTCTCTCTCTCTCTCTCTCGCACACATTTCATTTTACAAACACACAAAAAAAAAAAAACACCTCTCTTTTTCCCTCCTCCACCATTAACACCCCCACTCCCCACCCCACAAACTGCCCAAATTCGTCACATTAAACCCTAACAAGTACAAAAATTCTGAATGAGCGCCACGAATAACAGATCTTTAGGGACAATGTCACTACACCGTAACACTAACCCTCCACCTCCACAACAAAATCTTCCTCTAGTCGTCACTCTCAACTGCATCGAGGATTGTGCCATCGAACAAGACTCCTTATCCGGCGTCGCTTTAATCGAACACGTCCCTCTCAGCCGCCTCTCCGATGGCAAAATCGAATCTGCCGCTGCGGTCCTCCTCCACTCCCTCGCCTACCTTCCGCGCGCAGCCCAACGCCGTCTCCGTCCTTACCAGCTTATCCTATGTCTGGGGTCGGCTGACCGAGCCGTCGACTCGGCACTTGCTTCCGATTTAGGTCTCCGGCTTGTCCACGTGGACACTTCTCGAGCCGAGGAGATCGCTGATACGGTTATGGCTTTGTTTCTTGGCTTGCTGCGTCGGACGCATTTGTTGTCTAGACATGCGTTGTCAGCTTCGGGTTGGCTTGGCTCGGTGCAGCCGCTTTGCAGAGGAATGAGGAGGTGTAGAGGTTTGGTATTGGGGATTGTTGGTAGATCTGCATCAGCTAGGTCATTGGCCACTAGAAGCTTGGCTTTTAAAATGAGTGTTCTTTATTTTGATGTACATGAGGTATTTATTTGTGCATTTTGGATTTTTTAGTTATTGAAGTTGTCCATTGGAGTGTTGATTTTGGTGCCAAAGATGTTATCTTTAGACTGTTTTTGTGGCTTGCGAATTACATTGGAGAAATTTGTTGATTTTTAAATGAGATGGACTGATGGGTAATAGTAGAAACACTTGAAGTTAAGATTTTTTGTGTATTGTTGATGTAGTTGATTTATGGGTACATCAGAAGTGAACTTCATTCTGATGTATTATGAGGTTTATGTGGAAAAAATACATTTTGTTTCTGTAAATATTTCCAAATTAGTTGGTTATAAGTCACAGGGTGTTTTCTTATCTTTGTGATGAAGGAAAAGATCTTTGTAAAGCACAAACCATGTTATATTTGATAAACTTGGCATTTTATTATAATGGCATTTGGAAGATGCAATTAGGGTAAGATTGAGAAGCATTCTTTTAGAAGCTGTTGAATTGTGGGATTTCATGTTCTTTGAAATGATCATACTTTCTAATTTAATACATTGAGCTGTTGCTGTTCACTTTTTTGCTTTTAATTTCTGGTGCACGATTTATTTGTTCTTTTCATTTGGACTTGTTCTTATTCAATTTTTTGCCCACATTGAATTATGCAGGGACTGGGAAAATTAAGCAGGTCTTCTATTACATTTCCTTCAGCTGCTCGAAGAATGGATACTCTTAATGATTTACTAGCTGCAAGTGATCTTATTTCACTTCACTGTGCTTTAACTAATGAAACTGTTCAGATTATCAATGCAGAGTGTTTGCAGCATATAAAGCCAGGTATATCACTCTCCTTACTCATTTTGAGTTCACAAAATAATTTATTTCCCGTTGGTATTTATGTGGAAGGAACCTCTTTGCTTCCTTATAGGGGCATTTCTTGTGAATACGGGCAGCAGTCAGCTGCTGGATGATTGTGCTTTGAAGCACCTTCTGATTGATGGGACCTTGGCTGGTTGTGCCCTGGATGGCGCTGAAGGGCCACAGTGGATGGAAGCATGGGTATGTTTGATTTATGAATTGGATTACAATGTGACTTATAGGGTATCTATAAGCAGTTTGAATGGACTGTGTTATTTCTTGGAATCTATAATTGTGGCCAATTTGAAATGTCAGTTACTTCATATTTAATTACTCTACCCCTTTCTAAATAACTGAGTGAGTTTGGAGTTTCTGTCTCATAAGGTGAGCAGCAAGGGTTGAGGTCTCAAAGCATTGAGCATACTCTTTGATTTTTGGTGATGTTTGGAAAGATGTGTGCTTTAGATTAAAATTTTATGTGAAGGTTGTATGATATTTTAACTCCGAATACAGCATCTCTGTCTGAACGATCCATGACATAAACTTTTGCTTCAGGTAAAAGAGATGCCCAATGTATTGATACTTCCACGCAGTGCAGATTACAGTGAAGAAGTGTGGATGGAGATCAGGGACAAAGCCATCTCTATACTGCAGTCATTCTTCTTTGATGGGATTATACCAAAGAATGCTGTTTCTGACGAGGAAGAGGAAGAAAGTGAAATAGGTGATGAAAGTGAACAGTTTCACAGACAAGACAAAGAAAGTACTCAGCAGGATTCTGTTGGTGAGCAATTGACAGATGATATTCAGGTAACTCCAGAAGGCTCTCACAAAAAAGTCATTACTCAGTCAATAGAATCTATCAGCCAGGCTCAGGGTTCTGGAATGTCTCAAAATACGGCCACAAGATCTGAAGGAAGACGCAGCCGATCAGGCAAGAAGGCAAAAAAAAGACATGTCCATCAAAAATCCCGACAGAAATCAGATGACCCTTCTCAATTAGAGAAAGAAAGTACTTCACATCAAGAAGATGATACTGCTATGAGTGGCACTGATCAAGTGTTAAGTTCCGGTTCTCGGTTTGCTTCCCCTGAAGATTCAAGGAGTAGGAAAACACCGATAGAATTAATGCGAGAATCAACTTCAGGCCAGCATTCAAGATCAGGCAAGAAGCTCAGTGGAAAGTCTGATGAGCTGCTCAAAGATGGGCACATTATAGCTTTATATGCAAGAGATCGTCCTGCACTCCATGTCTCCAGGCAAAGAGTTAAAGGAGGTGGTTGGTTCCTGGATGCTCTGTCAAATGTAACAAAAAGAGATCCTGCAGCACAGTTCCTTGTTGTTTTCAGAAGCAAGGTTTGTTTGTCAGAAAGTGTTTACCTTTACTGTTGACCATATGTTCCAACCTATTCATCATATTACAGTTCCTAGCAGAATTGGATGGGTTAACTGTTGAGTTAGCTAATGTGTTCTTATGGATGCATTTTTTTCAGGACACGATTGGATTGCGCTCTTTTGCTGCTGGTGGAAAGTTACTGCAGGTACTTTGAATGTTGTAAGATTAAGTAGTTGGAGAGTGCTGCTGTACTAGAATGTTTAGAAGTTACCGTTGATGGGAACTAATATCTGCTCTCAAGTTCTCATGTTTTACTAGTTTGATATTGTCATCTTTCTATAACTAGCATCTTCCTTTTCTTTTGCTGATAAGGCCTTTTTTATACACATTGAGATTTCGTAAAATGTTTATAACTGGGGCATGCTTAGCCTTTGTAGTTGTTTGTGGTACGTAGACATCTTTATGTTTTTATGTATTGCTGCTTTACAGTGCATTATTTCAGGAAGTAAACATTTGCTGTGTAAAATCCAATTTTGGATCGACTATTTCGTGGGTGCATCTTTTCAAAAAAAAAATGGAAGCTTATTATTGTTTAATCAGGCACTCTATTTGTTCTCAATTGTGCTCTTCATTTGGAAAGAAAATGAAAATTGTGTTTAGAGCATATCCATCTCTCGTCTATGCTGTGTCGTTCTTTTTCCAGCATGATTGATTTGTAAATGCATAACTTGCTAAAATTCAGGTATCTTCATATAATTATTTGGTTGCTTGGGATTAATGCTGAGCTCTATCTTGAAAATCGCAGATTAACAGAAGAATGGAATTTGTCTTCGCCAGTCACAGTTTTGATGTTTGGGAGAGCTGGATGTTGGAAGGTTCTCTGGAGGAATGCAGGCTTGTTAACTGTAGAAATCCTTTGGTAGATTTCCCTTCTCTTTGTATTAAGCTGCAACATAATTTTCCTCCAACTGTATTCAATTCTTCTAAGCACTCATAAACAGAGATTCATAATGATTTACTATATAGTCCTAGCTCAAAAATAGCAGAACATGAAATTTTGATACATTTATCATTCTTAACTAGCCACCCCCGTTCCATCCTGCACATGCACTGAGGAAATACAATTCCTGTTTACCTGTCCTCTCTCTCCTTTGAATTGCCTTAATTTGTGCAAAAATTGCAGGCTGTTTTGGATGTACGCATTGAGATTCTGGCAGCCGTAGGGGAAGATGATGGTGTTACTCGATGGCTAGATTAGATTGTGGAAGCAAGAGTTGAGAAACTTGGGTTATTCTTCTGAGCTGCCCATTTTGTTATTCTTCTAAGGTTTGTGTTTCCTCAAAACAATTTGTAAAGCATTCTTTTCTGTTCCATCACTTTCCTTTTTTTTTTTTTTTTTTTGTGTAAGTTATCATTTATATATGCACTAATTGCCTATGGGGTGTTTAGCCTGTTGCCGAATTTAATGTATTTCATGATGAATGCGAGCTGTCCATTGTTTCTTCACATGGATGATTCTTTCTACCTTAATGGATTACTGAAATTCCATTGCTGTGTCCATTTTGTTGTTCAAGAAGCTAGTAGATACTTGTCAACCAGTGCTTCGTCATCATCTCTAGCTTTTATGGTAGCTGCATTAGCGTTGTTGATTCTGGGATTGTGAAGCAATTGTTGATCAATAACAGAACTTCTAAATTTATAAAAGGCGGGTGTGCTGAATCGCTGGATAAGATCACAAGGCATGGATCCTTCAACGATGTCGACAATCCTTGATGTAAGTGAAGTCAGAATTTTAAAACAAGATCATTGTTCGGGGTTGAGCATGATTTTCTGTTTCACTTTTATAAATTGTAATGCTGTTATGAGAATTAAACGCACTCAAGCCACCCCAAAAAGCTAAAGCTAATGGCTATTTGTAGTATGCATGCAAAATTTTCTTTTAGGGTCAGTATACATAAAAACAGAGATGCTAGTGGTGTTTTTGTTTCTGTCTGCAATTATCAAACTTGGCGGCCTTGGGCGGTGAGGTTTAGCTAGTTCTTCCTAGTGATCTGTGCACGATTTCAGTTTGGAATGATAAAGCTTTGAAGGTAACGCAAGATCCAGCTGGTTTTTAATCTCATAAAGCTAGAACGTCCCATTGCTTGCAATTTTCAAAGAAAAGTTTAGCGTGGTTTTATGGACCCCACAGCTTCCCTTGAGAGAGCGGAAAACGGTGAGGACAGGAAAGCTTTTGCAATCTATCATTTGTTATAAAAATTTCTCCATACCTCCTTCCAATCAATATTTGCTTAAAATTTCTTACTCGTATTTCCGATTTCCAATTTCAATTAATGCTGCTTGATATCGACCAATCTGTATCAGCTCATGATATTCGATCTTCTTATGAAGCTGGAGGGGAGGTGGGGACAAATCTCAAGTTCCAATTCTCCCTTTATTTTGCAACACGTTGTCTTGCGTGGATAACTTGTTGCGAGTTATGGGGTTATTTGCTTGCGAAATTTTTGTTTGGGACTTCAGTTAATACAGGGATTAACAAAGTAAACCCTTCTTGGTGGCTGACACTGAATAATTGGAAATACTAGTTAAACTTCCCTTTAAACCATGTATTTGCTAACTCCAAGTTTTAATATGCATAATCAGCATTTCCACGATATTATACGAGTAGATACTAGTTTGCTATCCGCACTACGATGTGGGTTGGGTATAAGTAAATTATTTTAATTTCATACCTCATGTTATATTACATATTTATTAAAATGTATCGAATCAAAGGTTAAAAAAAATAATAATATAATAACTTTTTAATCAAAATTTTGTATGTAATTGATTATTTTTTTATATTTTTCATAAATTTTCAATTAAAAAAGAAAATATGATTTGTTACTTCGTACAAATTGATTCTTATATACGAACATGCAACAATCGAAATAGAAAATTGAATCCATTTTTTTTAAAAAAAAAACTTATATTTTTTCCATTAGGTTCTATAAAAAAACCACAATTAATATAAAAAAATGTTTAGAAATTAACAAATATAAATATAATTTGTTATTCTTATTTAATGCTAATGAGAAGATTGTTTTTTTTTAAAATATGTACATTTAATTTGTATATATATTGAATCACAAAATCATCAATAATATAAAATTAAAAACTCGTATTTGAATCATTGAATAGTTTTTTCAAAAATATTATTTTAATTATTTTATTCAAAATAAGCTAAATTTAAATACCCAAAGGAAAAAAATTAATAGTAAATTGTTGGTTTTATGTTTGTAGATGAAAAATTAATTTCTAATAAAACTGATTATTTATTCATTATATATATATATATATATATATATATATATAACAAAAAAAAGCATATGAAAAAATTAAGAAACTAATTAGATGTTTTCATAACAAATGAAAAATCCAAGAAATTATCTTAAATTTAGAAGAAAAAATCAAAAATGAAAATTGAAACAAATATATTTTTAATTGTCAGTTGCATGAAAAAAAAATGATTTTTTTTCATATATTTAGCACAAAATCAATAAAAAAAAATTGCATAAAAAAGAGGGTAAGATATGGTCGGTTGGCTTCAGTGCCTTCTATCGTAACTTTCAACACTTGAGTTCGTCGAAAAAATGTGTTTTGCGTTTTTCGATCCCAAAACTCAATTCGTCCATCATTTTTGCTCAACACACTTTAAAAACACCAAGACAAGGTCAATAAATTCATCCGAAACATTAAAAATCATTTTAATGCATATTAAAAAAAACAAATTGAAATCTGAAAATTATTTTTTTTTCTTTGATTTACTTCCTTCAATCATTTGATTATTTGAAACCTTCTCTTCAAAATAAACAAATTGAATGAAATATGGCTGATCAAAATGGCTAGAATAAGTTTGGCCAACTCTCTCTCTCTCTCTCTCTCTCTCTCTCTCTCTCTCTCTCTCTCTCTCTCGCATCAAAAAACAAAAGTATGCCACATATAAAATTTTGATCAAAATAAAAATTTTAAAAAATTAGGAATCAAAGTATAAAAGTTTGTATAGTTCGCTTATAATTTCCTACAAAAAGCTAAAGATTATTATAAAAAAAAAAAAAACAAGCTTCCATCAATACCGTGGAAACTCATCTAAATCTTTTAGTTTTCTTTATAATTATATTACAAAGAAACTAAAGTAAAATGATAGTTTAGTATTCACTATCACCATTTGAAACACTATTTATCCAAACTCATTTGTAATATTCATGTGCATTGTTTCTTTCACTATACGAGTGACATTTTCATGATTTTTGAGTTTTTTTTAGCATTTATATACAAATTTAACATTGTGTTTCATTTTGATCCCTAATATTTTCAAAAGATATTTTTGGTCCCTAGTTGGAACGCGCACACACACCTTTTTTTTCTCATAATTTATCTTTTTTATTATTGAATTGTATGCAAAAATTATAAAAAAAAATTATGAATTATTTTGGTCACTAGATGGACCAACATGGATGCTTGCCTTTTTTTTTCTTTTGCTTTTTTTTTTTTTGACAATTTATTTTATTCTTGAATTGGATGTAAGAATTATGAAAAAAAAATTGTTATTTTGTTCGGTTTTTTATATAAGCTGGTGATTATGAAATATATATGTTATGTTTTCTTTTTCTACGGAAATCGACTAGTTAAAAAAAAAGAAATAAATGAAGTGTAAGTGACACTATTCATTTATCGTAGCTCTAGACTCATTGTCCATATATATATATTTGCTTCTTGGTCCCTCTTTTTTTGAGAGATGAATTAATTAGCTCCTTTGCTTTTCTTTTTTTTTTTTTCTTTTTTAAAGGGTTGTCCGGGACCTCCGAGTTGGCCTCTTTTCTTCTTTTTTTTTTTTTTTTTTCGGCTGGCCTCCTCTTTTTCTTTTTTTTTTCGAGCTAGCCTCTTTTTTTTTTTTTGGCACAAGTTAAAACTTTAAACGCACGTTTCACCTCCACTCGACCAAATCCTGCGGGCTAAAGCCACAATTTCGTGTAAAAAATGTTTAGTATAACAAGTCCCACAATCAAGAAATTTTAATTGAAGGGCTAAAGAGAATGTTTTTAAGAGCTTTACAGGAAAGGAAAAAAAATTCTACTTTACTTCGGAATTCTAGAAATTAGAGTAACAATAAGTCTTTCTCTAAAGTTCAAGCGTCCAAGCTTGAGTCTATTAACAACACCTCCGATCTTTAAATTATAAAAAAAAGAAAAAAATTAAAAGAAGTGAGGTTGCTCTTATTCATTCACTATAACTACAAACTCAAAATCTTTATTCATGCATGTTTTTTTTGCATCCTAGTCCCTCATTCTTCGAAAGATAACTATTAATTAATCCATTTGGTTCGAAAACTAATTTTTTTGGTCTTTTTCACCATTTTACTATTTTTACTTTTTCTTTTAAGAAATAGAAAAATAATAATAATAATAATTCTTTGGGGAATAAATTAATTAGTCCCTTTGGTTTGAAAACTAATTTTTTTTTGTCATTTTGGCCATTTTCGTTTATCGTAGCAGTTCCTTCTTTTTTTTTTTAATGCCGTCCATTCTTTTAGATCCAATTATATATATTAACTTCTTCACTCATACATTATTCTCCATTATCCAATGAATAGATTCTGCAACCTTTATTGCCTTGGAGGTAATATAATTTGTTGATTAATTTATTCTCTTTCCCAACTATTAAAGTATTTGTATGACTATTATTATAGTTAATAATTATAATATATTATCATTATGTTTTACAAAAAAAATAGTAGTGTTTTTTGGTTTTTTTCTCAAATATATTTTTTAGGTCCTTATTTATTAGAAAAATATTTTATTTAAATAATAAAATTATTAATATTTAATAATTATTGTAATAACCCCGTCCCAAAAACATACATCGTTCATGCATACACGCATAGTTATGAGTTACACGCATATAATTATACCTGCATATGACATGTTAGTGGGCTATCGGATAATAAGTATTTTGAATAATAGGAAGAAATAGAGGCTCAATTGAATGTAATCTAAGTTGAGGGACTAGAATAAAAACAAGCCAAAACTTGAGGGACCAAAACGAACTTTGCCAAAATATCTTCACAACCTTATCAAGATTACTTAAATGATCATTATCTCTTCTTATCCCATCTGGTTTCCCATTTTGAGAGAGAGAAAGAAAGGAAAAACTCATTTCTTTGTCAAATTCGGATGATCAAGTCGGAAATCTAGGTAAGTTCATCTCCAACTCGTTTTG